ATATATATATATATATATATATATATTTCGACTCGAGCTTTGAGAAAAAACTGCGAGTCCGTTACCGGATCAAACGTCTCTCTCCCCTCCTCCTTCTCTATCCATATAACGCTCCGCCAAGATAAGATAAAATGTTCCAAACGTTTACACCAAATAATACATTTTCGGCATAGAAATTCGGCTTGAAGTATTTAAAAAGAAAAAAAGGGGGAAGGTTTCTTTGAGAGTAGACAAGTGTTAAACGAAGGAAGGGCATTTCGAATTTGGTATTTCGATCCCCTTGATCCTGGCCTATACTTCATTCAGATACACAGCTCTGATACGGGCGGATATCCTGCGCGCGTTATGGACAGTCTGATCCTGACACACGATGCGCATTACCGTTGCTCCCCTTTGTACAACCGTCTCTTACGCGTTCTCAATGAAACTAATTATTCTGAAATTTGGATCCGGTCTCATAGGCCGGATCTCGGTATTTTCCGGGGTGAACTCAATAGAACGGTCTGGTCTGGAGAAGCAACGAAATCGCTTTCGCTTCGCTCTTTAAATATTCTTCTGATATTACGTTAAAAGAAAGACGAATGAATGGAGCAAGGAAAAACGGATCATAGGGATTGCTGATCGTGATTAGATCGTATCACGTGAAATTCTTCGAATGCTGAGATTATAGCTTCTCGAATATTTTATTTTTCAAAAGAAACCGAAATGAATGATCGGTTGATGAAATATTTGTGAAGTGAGTATGCATGGAGAAAAATAGATGGCGCTGTCACGGTATCTTCTCGTTTCGGAAAAGAACAAATTACTAGTCGCCGTAACTTTTTTCGCCCGTAGCGACGCTTTCGCCGTTCGTTCAGCATTTTCAGTGGTATGTATCCATCTCTCGTCACAGTTTTTAATTTTATTCAAAAATGGACTCGTGTCATTTTGAGCTTTGCGCAAAGATCACGTTTCGAGACGTTGCAACTTTCTGTTTTTCTTCGGTTGACGTCGGTACCCACTTTTCTTCGCTTTGACTCGAATGCGCGAAAACCGTCATTTCAGATACGTCTAACTCTACTTTGGCTTTCTGTTTAACACGGATTTCGGTCTATCTTGTTTTCATACTCGAATTTTTGAAACCACTACCGAAAGATTCTCTCATCGATGGAATTTTCTTCGAAAGCTAACCTAATATTTCGATGCGCTTCGGCTGCACTCATGGCCCAGTTTAAACTCGTACAGGAACAATATTCCAAATTCGTTCACTTGTGAAGAAACAGTTAAACTAATAACGAAAAAGAAGTTATTACGGAAAGGAAAAGTAAGGTTAGGTTAAGTAGAGTCGCGGTTGATTGCAAGTGATTGTAAAATTTGCAAGTGATGTGTTACACAACCTAATATAACTCTTTGTTGAATTAAGATTTGAACTTTTCTTCTATTTTTTAATATCTTTCAATGTGAAAAACTCGAAACATCGATAATAATGAATTATTCGACTTATCGATGGAATCTTCTCTCAAAAGCTAACCTAATATTTCGGATGTATTCGTACAGGAACAATATTCTAAATTCATTCATTTTTAAAAAAATAATTAAACTAATGCGAAAAAGAAGTTATCATTAATTATTTTTTGAGATTTGAATCTCTCTTTTTCGATGGAATCTTCTGCTCAAAAGCTAACCTAATATTTCGATGCGTTTCGAAATACTAGCTTAAACTCGTGCAGGAACAATATTGGAAATTCGTTCTCTTTTGAAAAAAACAGTTAAACTAATAGCGAAAAAGAAGTTATAGAAAGAAAAAGTAGGTTAGGTTAAATAGAATAGTTTACGAGTCGCAGTTGATTGCCTTTTATTCCAAAATTGGCAACTTCAACGGGATACAACCTTAATACTTATTTAAATAGGGTTGCGTAATTTGAAAATGGATTTGAACGTCGATGCGGCAATTTGCGATCCAAGTTTGCGATATAGTTAGACGCATCGTGGATCGATTTGAATCGCTTCCTATCGCTTTAATGATATTAATGCGGCGGTGTTAATGCCATCGTATGCGGTGATACTTGCGCGTAACGTTATTAATACGATAATCTTATTATTGCAGCGATGTGATTAATGCGGCGTTAGTGAAATCCGATTAAGATTTATTAGGTGCGACGCATCTAAATGTGAGTATTTGATGATTCGATATAATCAAGATTTCGATAATGCAAAATCCTTTTTAATATTTCGTTATAATCGGAAATAACAATTCCTTTCTTTTTATGGTAGTTTCTAGTTTCTAGTATCTCGTTCGATTATCACGATACCGATTCAACAATCATCAAATGGCGTAAAATTCATAGAGCTTCGAGAAACTGAGTGACAACGACTGGATATAAGAAGAAATCGAAGCCTTTTTTCCCTTTTCTTTTCTCCAGTCTTTTCCGCGAAATTACGTTTTTCGATAAGAAATATCCTTCCAAACGATGTTTTGCTTCCTCTTTACCAGAGCAGCAATTTTATTTTATTCAGCGTAATCGAAATTACGACGAAATTACGACGGAATCGACTTATATTGGATTATGGAAAAGAGATATAGTTTCCCCCCGGGCACGAAAATACGAGAGGTTCCGTATAACAGGTGATGGTAAAGATAAGCAGCTTTCACTCTGCGACAGACGCAAGATGTGTCATAATCGTTAATAAACTAAGAAGCTTTACGGTTCCATAATTCCGTTCCGTAACCACTCTCTGTTGATACCACTCTCTGGTTTTAATTTTAATCTTCGCCGCGAGATGGCAAATTCTCCCTAGCAAAAATCCCTATAAAATGTGCACGAAATGTACAACGATGATTCGTCCCTCTTTTTCGATACGATCAATTCGTATCCTTCTTTCTTTCCAATTTCCCCCCTCCCCGCTATTATTCATCACGAATCCGCGCGACGAGAATCGAAGATCGAGGAAAGGCTTTCATTCTCGGGAATCGATTCGCGAAATAGAACTCTCTTCTTTCATTCGATCGTCTTCGGTGGAAATATTTCTCTATCCCGTCGAAATCATTTTTTTTACCAGATATTATCGCTTCCCTCCGTCGATAATAATCCCTCGCGTTCCTCTTTTCACTTTTGCCACGCTTTTGTTTTTCGAAACGGCCGATTTTCCCGTCCGTTCCTCATATTAAATATCGGGGCCGAAGAATTACTCCCCGGCCTGTCGTAAAATAGGCTTTATAGCTCGTTTATCGCCGCTCGGTCTCGAGAAATGCGATGCTACGTAGTCCGATCACGACGCTAACGGAGGACCTGACCAATCGTGTTTACCCATTAATTCCCCCTCCCTTGAACGATAATATGTAACTTCGTGTAACCTTGCCTTTCGTTTTCGTTCCTCTTTATTTTATTTTCGCGAATCGCGAGACGATTTGTCTTAGGGACGAGGGGAAAGCGTATGCCGATGCCGGTTAGAATTTTACGTCGTTTGAATTCGAGAGATCGATTCACCGAGGAAATAATATATATATATATCGAATATTGTATTGAATTTCGATTCGAAGAAGAAGGAATCGATCCACGTGGAAGGAGGGAGGAAGCTTTGTACGACTTCGTTCGAGGTGAAAGCTAAGTAAGCGGCAATTTATTCTTAAGAAAGAAAGGATTACGAAACCTTTCTTTCTCGTTTCATTCTCGTTCCCCTTCAACTTTGATCATCTGTCGGATGGGATGATTTCGTTTGAGTCGTGGGGCTGGAGCCGAGGTTGGAAAGTATTCTTCCACTCTGGATTCTGGATAAAATAAGTAATAAATGGAAAGGAAGGTGGAGTCTATTTCGTTAGTTGGCCAGGTTGTCAAAGGTTGTCCTCCCGGGCGAACCTTGGAGAATTCTATCGAGTGATACGAGAGAAGGAACGCGGAGGGGGGGAGGTGTCATCGATGGGTTCCAGCGAAGGAAGAGGGACGTAGATAAGGAGAAGAAAACGAATTTTACGCGAGAAAAGAGCCGTTTCTCTCGAAACTATCTTCTTTCCCTCGAATTAAAACAAAAAAGGAACGGTCTCTATTTTCTTCAGTCTCTTAATCTCTCTTAATTTTTCGCAACGCTGTGTCCTATGATCCGAATATTTCCTGATCCGCGATAACAACGTTACCCCAAATAATTAGATTATACATTATAATTATACAATATATGTATAATTATAATAGGTTATGCATTGCTTATTATGATTTCACGTTGTCCTCTTACATTTTCCTTTCTGTAATAAGATATTCAGAATTAATTATAATTTTTTATATAGAAGAATTATATTTTTATATATAAGAATTATAATTCTTTTTCAATTATTTTTCACAGTTATTAGTTTAACTGTTTTTTTAGAAATGAACGAATTTAAAATATTGTTGTGTAGAATATTAGCTTTTGAGGAGAAGAGTCCATCGATAAATCGAATAATTTGTTATTCGATAATTCATTATAATGATGCTTCGAATTTTTTTAAAAAATATTGAAAGATAAAAATTCAAATCTCAATTCAACAAAGAGTTATATTAAGTTATATAACACATTAAAATGCCAATTTTAGAATAAATGACGATCAACTCGTCATGACGCAACTCCTAAATTTTACTTAACCTAACCTTACTTTTCCTTTTTATAATAACTTCTTTTTCTTATTATTAGTTTAATTATTTTTTCAGAAGTGGAAGAATTTCGAATATTGTTCCTGTACGAATTTAAGCTAGGCCACGAGTACAGCTGAAACGCATCGAAATATTAGATTAGCTTTCGAAAAAGATTTCATCAACGAGGACCGTTCAGTGATGGTTTCAAAAATTCGAGAAACGGGAATCTCGAAAACGAGCCTCGAGATAGACCGAAATCCGTGTTAAACGAGAATAAATGGAAAGCGAAAGTGCAGGCAGAATTGGTATCTGGAATGACGGTTTTCGAGTCAAAGCGAAGAAATTGGAAAAGTAGAAACCGTCGCCAATCGAAAGAGAATCTAAAGTTATTGCGCAGAGACAACAGTCTATTTTCGAATAGAATTATAAGTTGTGACGAGAAATGGATCCAATGAAAATCTTGTATGAATGACAAAAGCATCGTTACAGGCGAAAAAAATTACAGCATACGTTCTTTTTCGAAAGGAAAAACAAGCCGCATTAGTCGATAGATTTATTCTTCTGTGACGTGAAAATATTTCATCAACCGATTGTCATATTCGTTTCGTACATTCGCTGTTGCTTTTAAAAAATAAAATATTCGAGAAGCTGTAATGGCTCATGTTTCGATCGAATATACTATATACCTGACTGAACGAATATAAAGTCGAATCGATTGTTTTTTTTATTTACGAGCGAAGCGTTTCTGGAATAGCAAGTACAAGTTTATTCTCCTTCGTGATGTTTCCCGTTCCACATTCCCTCGTTACACATTCCTTTTTAAAGCGGGCGACTACATTTTTGAGTTCACCGAATCACCATCCGCTCCTATTTACTATCTCGCGTACTTATGATTAATTTAACGTGGCAGTTTCGAGGACGCTTTGCGAGTGGTTCTCAAGCAGGGTCGGTAAGATCGCTCTCCCCCGTACCATCGTTTTTCCGGTAACACCATTAAGCGCGCGGAGATGGACGAAAACATTCGACTTAACGAGTATCATCAACTCGAACATCCGTACTCGTGATAACAAAGCGAACATTAATCCAACGCGAAGAAAGTAAGCACGAGAAGATGGATTTTTTCCTCCCTCCCCTCTCCGATGGAAGCACGAAAGTATTATCATGGACAGGGATTCTCCTTCCTCCTTTTAATTCGATGGTTTTGCATCGTGGCTCATATGTGGCGAGTGGACGGTCGAAACGCATATCTCAAGTTCGCAAATTTGCATTGAACGCGCCAGCAATGAATTTTTTTTCACGCGTGGGGACCACGATGAAGCGTGATGAGAATCAGATTCGATCGTTCGAGTCGTAAAGTACGTTGCAAGCTTCGGTACTCGCGAAAAAATGCGAGACGAAAATATTACTTGTTGCTCGTCGCGCCGTCGCGATGGGTAAAATCGATTTGAGGCGATTTTTAAAAATATATTTAAAAAGATAAAGGGAAAAGGTAAGAGGAATTCAAAAGAACGCGCCCATTTTTATTTGTTTGTTTGTTTCTTTTTTTTTTTTTTTCGATCGTTACGTTTCAAATATGATTACGTCTTAACGAAAGGGAAACGAAACGCGTCCCGTCCGTTTTTTTGAAAGCGGTTCCACGGTATAGTTGGCTCGTAATGACATGGTCCCCGTCACAGGAGGATAATTAAAAAAATATTCGGCGAAAAAACAGCATAGTGGGGGACACACGCTTTCTTTCCAATGGCTTAATTAACGAGCGTAAAAGCCAGCCTCGAAAAAAACTTCGTTCCAGAACAACTTTCCATCCGCTTGTTTCCCCTCCGCTTGCATCTCTCCTCTCTTTCTCCTTTTCCATCTTTTTCCTCTTCTTTCTCTTCCTTTTCTCTCTCTCTCTTTTTTGCGCCCAACCGTTGTTGCTAATGAATCCACGTCCAAATCCAAATCTTCTCCTCTCCTCTTAACGTTCCCCCACCATTCGTCTTACGCCGTTTTCGACCAAACTATTTTCATTTACCTACCCAACTATCCATCCATCTATCTATCTG